GGCAAACAATGTCGTGGATAAATAATCTGGCGACTTCAACTGCAGTTTCCTTAGGCACAGCTTTGGTTTCGGCATAGTGAGTCAGGTAGTCGGTTGCGACGATTATCCACTTGACTTCTGAGGATGACGTAGGGAATGGACCAAGAAGATCCATTCCCACTTGCTGAAATGGTGCTCGAGGTGGATATAAAGGTTGGAGGAAACCGGCGGGCTTTGCGGGTGGAACTTAACGCCTCTGACAGTCACGGCAGGTGTGGACAAAGCGCTGAATAGACGAATACAGCTATGACCAGTAGTACTTCTATCTGATGGGCGCTAATGTCCTAGCAAAGCCTAAGTGACCAGCCGAAGGATCGTCGTGGCACGCCTGCAAAACTTCCTCACGCAGTGCCGTTGGAACGGTGAGGAGGAACGTTTCCTGGCTGCTCTCAAGATTTCTCTCGTAGAGAACATTGTTCCGCAGGCAATACGTTGTTAAACCTCGCGAGAGCCGGCGTGGGATGATAACGTCTTCTACTTGAAGATCCTGGATGACAGGAAGTAGCTCAGTGTCCTCACGTTGAAGCTCAGCCATCCGGACCACATCGACGATGCCAAGAAACGGTAAATCTTGTTCAGTGTCAGATGACGTCGGGAAAATAGGAGCACGAGACAGGCAGTTAGCATATTTATCCTTATGTATTGATCGGTAGACCACCGTTATGTCGTACTCTTGAAGGCGGAGACTCCAGCGGGCGAGGCGGCCTGATGGATCCCGTAGATTGGCAAGCCAACAGAGCGAATGGTGGTCACCGACCGCTTGAAATGGCCGGCCGTATAGGTAGGATCGAAACTTGCTAATGGCCCAAACGACTGCTAGCCACTCTTTTTTTGGTGGTAGAGTAATTAGCCTCTGCTTTTGTGAAACTACGGTTCGCGTAAGCGATCACACGCTCTACGCCGTTCTGCCATTGAACTAGAATGGCTCCAATTCCTACGTTGCTGGCGTCTGTGTGGATCTCGGTGACAGCAGTGTCGTCGAAATGTGCCAGCACTGGAGCTGTCTGCGGTCGACTGCGCAGCTCTAAGAAGGCTTGTTGTTGTTCTTTCGTCCATACGAAAGGCACATCTGGCCGTGTCAGTCTTTTAAGACGTTCCGCAATTTTCGAAAATCCTTCGACAAAACGGCGGTAGTACGCACAGAGTCCGAGGAATCGCTGAAAAGCCTTCTTGCCTCCAGGACGAGGGAAATCGGCAACGGCAGCCAACTTCTCCGGATCTGGTCGGACACCTCCCGGACTCATCACGTGGCCGAGAAACTTGAATTCCTGATAGCCGAAGTAGCACTTTTCGGGCCTCATAGTAAGGTTCGCTCTCCTCATTGCAGTCAGGACACTTTTTTAGCTGTGAAAAATGCTCATCAAACGTGCTTGATAACACAACAACATTATCCAAGTATACAAGACACGTCTGCCACATTAGTCCAGCTAGTACAGTGTCCATCATGCGTTGAAATGTGGCGGGAGTGGAACAGAGACCGAAAGGCAGCACTGTAAATTCGTAGAGCCCGTCAGGAGTCACGAACGCAGTTTTCTCACGGTCGTCCTCGTTAACTTCAAGTTACCAGTACCCTGACCTGAGATCTAATGATGTAAAGAACTGGGCGTGGCGTAGACGGTCTAAGGCGTCATCAATCTGTGGCAGGGGGTAAAAGACGAGTTTTGTGCCTTTGTTAAGCCGTCGATAGTCGACGCTGAAGCGTAGCGAGTTCTCTTTTTCTTTACTAAGACAACAGGTGACGCCCACGGACTCGTCGAGGGTTGAGTGACGTCATCATTCATCATTTTTTGAACTTGACGCTTAATCACCTCCCTTTCCTTCAGGGACACACGGTATGGATGTTGGCGAAGACGCCACGCTGACTTCTCGGTAACAATGCGGTCCTTTGTAACGGTGGTACGCTGATCTTTCGATGCTGTGGAGAAGCAGTCCGAAAATTCCCTCCCAAGGTTTAGCAGCCACTCCTTGTGAGGAAATCTGGCAAGCCTGGATTAACGTGAATGCGACTTCCCAGGTCAGCACAAGCTTTTGCATGCGGTGAAGTCGTATCCAATGTGCCGATATCGGAAAAGTCGGCGATTTCACTGAGGAAAGCGAGAGTAGTGCCTCTAGGGACGTGCTGAAACTCATTGCTGAAGTTGGTCAGCAGAACTCGAGATCATTTATTCTCTAACCGAACAAGGCATCGGGCTGTGCAGATGTTTCGTTTGAGCAGCAGCGGGATATTTGCCTCTGCAATACCTTTACAGTCATTGAATTCATCAAAAACGTCGCAGGATACCAAGGTCAACACGCTACTCTTCGGCGGTAACGTGACGTCATCGTCAACAATTCTCAAAGCGTTGACGTAACTGCCGTGAGGGTTTCGCGCTAAAGCATGTGCCGTAGAAAACGTCACCTGTGACTCTTGCAAATCAATAACGGCTCCATTGTCACGCAGAAAGTCCAGTCTGAGAATGAGGTCCCTCGAGCAACTCGGCAGTATTACAAAATCTCCGAGATACGTAAATCCGTGAATACTGACTCGCGCTGTGCACCGTCCCACCAGAGTGAGAAGATGGCCTCCTGCCGTACGTATCTGCGACCCAGCGCACTGGGTAGAAACCTTCTTCAGCCTGCAGGCAAGACCCATGCTCATAACGGAAGTGTCTGCTCCAGTGTCAATTAGCGCCATTACTTCTTCATCGTCCACAGTTACCGCAATGCTTGATGTCACCACTCTTCGTACCACGTTTGATTGCGTCTGTACTTCTTTTGCTGCCATCGCTGTCATCGTAGTGGAGGATATTCTGTAGAGTCAGCGTCAGCGGCCTCCCCTCCGGAGGTCACTGAACTCAGTTTCCACAACTTGCACGATTGGGTGAACAGCATCTAGGAGCGCCGCGTGAATAGGCTGGGCTCGGTGACCTGTAGCGAGCAGGTCACAAGAGCCAGGCTCTTGTGACTGATGTTCGATACTGCGACGATTCGAGATGAAGCTCTCCATTTCCAGTGGTCGCTCGCCAGGTCGCGGACGAGGGGCAATAGGCGAAAATCCACGGAGACCCACACGACGGTATGGAAATGTTCGGTAGACGTGTCCGGCTTCCCCGCAGTGGAAACAAAGGGGCCTGTGGTCGGGTGTACGCCAGATGTCACTCTTTCTCTGTCTTGCTTCGTCAATCAACGGCGACCTGCGAGGACTGAAGCCTACCTCTATTTGCTGAGCGTGTCGCCCACTGGGGTAAAATACGCTGGTGGAACTGCACAATCGAGGGCGTCGCACTGACTCCGCGTAGCTCATTTCGACGCAGTGCCTCTGTTGTGGTGCCTCGAACGGTTGGGGAGCGGGAACGGCTTGCCATAGCTCGGCGCGTACCATCTCCGGAATGGAGAGTTGCTCTACAGGTGAAGCAGTTACCTGCAACTTTTGTAGCTCTTCCTTAATTAGAGCTCTGATAAGCTCTCGGAACGCGCTGATGTCATTGCCGAGAGTGACAGAAGTGACCTCACTTGGATGTACACCATGGCTATACTGCGTTTTCTCTCGAAACCCAAGGGCCAGAAAACGCGAACACCAGAGCACGCGCACACATAACTACTCCGTTGTCATCCTCAGAGGCTGGCTGCTATAGCTGCCAGCCTACCCTTGCGTCAATATTTATATATATATATATATATATATATATATATATATATATATATATATATATATATCGAACCCGGGTTACCCGCGTGGCAGGCGAGTATTCTACCACTAAACCACCGACGCCATTTGTTTACTCCTGTATGTATGCGGAAAGGCACGCAAGAACGTTTTTAAAATAAACGATGTGTCGGCGGGGAATTGAACCTGGCTCAGCCGCGTGGCAGGCGAGTATTTTACCACTGAACCACCGACGCCAATTGCTTACTCCAGCATTCATGACATGCAATATGGCGTAACATTATGTGTGAGCTTTTCTAAAAATAACAATGTGTCAGCTGGGAATCGAACGCGGGTCACCCGCGTGGCAGGCGAGTATTCTACCACTGAACCACTGACACCGTTTGCTGGCTCCTGCATTTATGACGGGCAATATTGCGGAATAGCAGGCGAGATCTTTTCTAAAATAAAAGATGCGTCGGCTGGGAATCGAACCCGCGTCACCCGCGTGGCAGGCGAGTATTCTACAAATGAACCACCGACACTATTTGCTTACTCCTGCATTCATAGCATGCAATATTGCGTAACAGCATGCGTGAGCTTTTCTAAAAATAACGATGCGTCGGCCGCGAATCAAACCCGGGTTTCCCGTGTGGCAGGCGAGTATTCTACCACTGAACCACCGACTCCATTTGATGGCTCCTGCATTCAAGGCGCGCAATATTGTGAAATAGCACGCAGGAACTTTTTAAAAAAACGATGCGTCAGCCGGGAATCGAACCCGGGTCACCCGCGTGGCAGGCGAGTATTCTACCACTGAACCACCGACGCTGTTTGCTGGCTCCTGCATTTATGGCGTGCAAGATTGCGGAATAGCACGCAGGAACGTTTCTAAAATAAACGATGCGTCAGCCGGGAATCTAACCCGTGACACCCGCGTGGCAGGCGAGTATTTTACCACTGAACCACCGACGCCATTTGCTTACTCCTGCATTCATGACATGCAATGTTGCGTAACAGCACGTGTGAGCTTTTCTAAAAACAACTATGCGTCGGCCGGGAATCGAACCCGGGTCACCCGCGTGGCAGGCGAGTATTCTACCACTGAACCACCGCTGCCATTTGCTTGCTCCTGCATTCATGGCATGCATATATAGCGTGACATCACGCGTGAGTTTTTCTAAATATAACAATGCGTAGGCCGGAATCGAACCTGGGTCACCCGCGTGGCAGCCGAGTATTCTACCACTGAACCACCAACGCCAGTTGCTTACTCCTGCATTCATGACATGCAATATTGCGCAATAGTACGCAGGAACTTTTCTAAAATAAACGATGCGTTGGCCGGGAATCAAACCCGGGTCACCTGCGCGGCAGGCGAGTATTCTACCACTGAACCACCAACGCCATTTGCTTACCCTGGCATTCATGACATGCAATATTGCGTAACAGCACGGGTGAGCTTTTCTAAAAGTAACAATGCGTCGGCCGGGAATTGAACCCGGGTCACCCGTGTGGCAGGCGAGCATTCTACCACTAAACCACCGACGCCATTGTTTTTCTCTGGCATTCATGACATGCAATATTGCGTAACAGCACGTGTTAGCTTTTCTAAAAATAACGATGCGTCAGCTGGGAATCGAACCCGGGTCACCCACGTGGAGTCGAGTATTCTACCACTGAAGTACCTAAGCCATTTGTCTACTGCGGCGTTCTTGACATGCAATATTGCGGAATAGCACGCAGGAACTTTTCTAATATAAACGATGCGTCGGCCGGAAATCGAAGCCGGGTCACCCGCGTGGCCGGCGAGTATTCAGCCACTGAATCACCAACGCCATTTGCTGGCTCCTGCATTCATGGCGCGCAATATTGCGTAACAGCACGGGTGAGTTTTTCTAAATTTAACAATGCGTCGGCCAGGAATCAAGCCCGGGTCACCCGCGTGACAACCGAAAATTCTGCCGCTGAACCACCAACGCCATTTGCTTAATCCTGTATTCATGACATGCAATGTTGCGTAACAGCACGTGTGAGCTTGTCTAAAAACAACTATGTGTCGGCCGGGAATCGAACCCGGGTCACCCGCGTGGCAGGCGAGTATTCTACCACTGAACCACCGCTGCCATTTGCTTGCTCCTGCAGTCATGGCATGCATATATAGCGTGACATCACGCGTGAGTTTTTCTAAATATAACAATGCGTAGACCGGGAATCGAGCCTGGGTCACCCGCGTGGCAGCCGAGTATTCTACCACTGAACCACCAACGCCAGTTGCTTACTCCTGCATTCAGGACATGCAACAATTCATAACAACACGTGTGAGCCTTTCTAATAATAACAATGCGTCGACCGGGAATCAAACCCGGCTACCCGCGTGGCAGGCGAGTATTATACCACTGAACCACCAACGCCATCTGCTTGCTCCTGCATTCATGGCATGCATATATAGCGTAACAGCATGCATAAGCTTTTCTAAAAATAACAATGCGTCAGCCGGGAATCGGTTCCGGGTCACCCGCGCAGCAGGTGAGTATTCTACCACCGAACCACCAAAGCCATTTGCTTACTCCTGCATTCTTGACATGCAATATTGCGGAATAGTACGCAGGAACGTTTCTAAAATAAACGATGCGTCGGCCGGGAATAGAACCCGGGTCACCCGCGTGGCAGGCGAGTATTTTACCACTGAACCACCGACGCCATTTGCTTACTCCGGCATTCATGGCATGCAATATTGCGTAACAGCACGCGTGAGCTTTTCTAAAAGTAACGATGCGTCAGGCGGGAATCGAACCCGGGTCACCCGCGTGGCAGGCGAGTATTCTACCACTGAAGCACCGACGTCATTAGCTTGCTCCTGCAATCAAGGCATGCATATATAGCGTAACAGCACGCGTGAGCTTTTCTAAAAATAACGATGCGTCGGCC